TTGGTGTCCTGCACACTCGCAACTGACTCTAAAATATGTAGTTCCATGATGTCTTTGAAAGGTATTCGTTAGCCCAGATATCTTAGCTTTTCGAATTCACGTTACTGTAACAAAAAATATTTTAATATTCAATTATCTGAATGTATGTGTCTTTCCTTGTGTAAATTTACAACGTTTTGAGGTTATTATAAAAAGTATTGGTTTTGCTTTCTAATTTGGTAATACCTGATGGATATATAGTTACACTTAGATAATATATCCATCAGGTATAATTCGTCCAAGTTCTGTATCCATAGTTATCAATTAAATCAATAACGAACCTCCTTCAAGTCCAGGATGTTACTGTAGGAAATCGTTATCTGTAATATTCATCTATGCTTCCATTTTTCTGCATCCAATCATTACGCAATGAAGCTATTTGAGCCTTTTGCAGTAGTTGATAACTGTAAGAACCTTGACAAGCGCAACACGAACATTCAGCCGGTGCATATGTGTCACTGTGTCATGAGTTCCAGTCAATGTTTGTTCTGTTTTGAACACTTACACGCTCCGCTTTTCTGGTTTACATTTCAATGTATAAATTGTGCCCTTACCTTCGTCCACCTCCGTCCCCTATTCTGAAATCTTACATCTGACAGGAGAAAAAAAGATAATCTGCATTCGTCAAATAACAACAGCGTTTAATTCTATGTAGTCAACTAGAGCGTCACGATGAGGATTGTATTACTTTGTACGCAGCGCAAGGAGTTTAAATGAAACACTAATCCTAGCTTGCCCCCAAAAAACACTTTATACACAAAATAGATCTATGATTTTGTACACGTCCAGATTATACACACTACATGTTTACGCGTCGGGGTTAACACTGTTATTGTATCTAAAATACATTACACAAATTGTTTCATTTATCCTCACTATTATTGGTGTCATTTATGATTGTTCAACCGTCAAAGTACTTTCATATGACGTGCAAATGAGGCCTGCTCATGTTTAAGTTTTAAGGCAATTTTACCGCTTTCAAGCGTTATTTCTTAAACAGTTTTGCTGTCTGGTATTGCCGAAAATAATATCACTGTAACACATTGCACTTAACAAATCGAAACGAATGTAGAAACACAAAACACCGTCGACATGTCAGCCATCGTATGTTGCCCTCTAGCGCTCCAAGCAGTGTAACGTCATTGGATTGTCAAAACATTGGACAGAGAATAAAGACCAATAAAATATATCCTCAGTGGCCTAATAAAGATTAAAGCAAAACCTTTTTAATATTTGCTGGAGCTTTACAGTAAATAAATGTGCCTATAATCAGATTGTGTACGAATCGTCGTTTTTTATTTCCTATTTTTTCCCCTAATTCAAACGTTTTATACATGACGTTGTATTTTGAAACATTTTAGACTGGTTGTTATCTCCTACAAAGTCATCCGATAATCAGCCAAATATTTGAATAACAAGACTTACTATAATTTTGCACCAGAAATGGGGCGCATTATGTGCTTTGCTAAATAGAAAGATGCGATATTACACAGAAAAGCAGATACTTAATGTCAAATTCACTGTGTGCAGATGTGGTGATATAACTGTTTTACTTTGCTGGCAGTTGGGTGGAATTCTATTCGTCTACATTTGTCAAAGACAAATTGCTGCTTATCATCTTACCAATATAATATCAATCATTCATGGTGTATCAAGAAATTCTTGCGTAAGCATAAGGCTTGAGAAATTTGCCACAATCAATGTGCTTGATTAAAAAAAAAACAGTATTAAAAATTGATGATTAAAGAGAAATCGCATTTAATAATTACTGATATACAGTATATATATAATAGATTGATATACAACTAGTTAATCTGTTCAACAATATACATTTTTTTAAATATAAGTTTAGGAAAAGATACAAATTATTTGTCATGCAACGTGCTATGGATAACCACATGCATATTTCGGGGTAATACAAGGGACATAACTCGTATTTTTATGCTAGATTGCACTCTTCATTATATGTTTGTCGAAGTGTTATTCATAACATCTTCATATCAAAATGAAAGTTATTTGAATGACCGAAAAGACGTGAGAGCAAACTCAAGTGAAATTTCTCTGCCACTATTCTAGATACATGTTACTTAATCAATCGTATTGAAGGCAGATACACTATCCTCCTTTAAAACATGCATTATAGATTAGTCAGTTCACTTGAACCTGTTCCAAACATAAAAAATTGTCTGTATAGTTACGTCATGACCCAAAACGTGACTGAGCTGAAGTTGTCTACATCAAAAGTGTGAGTAATCAATAAATATAAGAAGAAAGGGAGCAACTTTTTTTTTTCAAAATTAGCATTTCTACTGCACCATATGGTTATTCTTAACCAATAAGTCGTACCTAATGTCAAAAGAACGAAAATGCATGTTCAAAGTGTTTTAAACTATATGTCGAAAATTGAAAAAAGTAAAATTTATAATTTTAAATTATCAAAGATTAACAATTATTGTTTCAAACAAATTATTACTTCTGAAAGAATTAACTTCCTTCTTCAAGGTTTCGGCCATCAACAAGCATATCCATGTGACTATAAATAAATTGTAGAAAATATTAAGTTTTTCCGAACAGGGTACTATAGTTCCCGCCCTCCATTTAAATGCACTTTTCTCGGTTTTGGGTGTCTTTGACCGACAGGTACCTAGAATTCACAAGTTACATCATGATTGGTTGGTTGATTGTATCGGGTTTAACGTCCTATTAACAGCTAAGGTCATTTTAGTAAGTGCCTCGATGTGATTTTAAGCATGCATGTGTGTATTAGTGCCGGATACAGGGTATGTTGGTGTATTTGCCTCCTTGTGATAGCGCGGATCTGAAGCCGACTTAAATGTTCGATCTGACTGTAATACCATGCCGAAGGCACCCAACACAGCATTCCGCCCGGTCACATTATACTGACAACGGGAGAACCGGTTGATGCCATTACCCTAATGCTGAACGTAAAGCAGGAATAAAAACTAACTTTTGTTTAGTATTTTGTTATGTCACTGCTTGGGAATAGAACAACTTGCTTTCATCAACTTGGCAAACGTTAAACATTGAAGTCTAAAACGTTCTTTTTTTTCGGCTGGCCTGGCTTAAGCGTTTGAATCAATATCGATCGGATTCAGCGGTCGAATAGTATCGATCGTTTTTCATATCTGTTTTTGACGGCCGTTTTATGGCTGCCGACTACTCATGCTTGTCCTGACCTATCGACCGCTGATCCCAAAATTTAAGCCAAATTACAGGTAGAGCTATAACCGTTTAACAACTATTTTCTACATGCAAATGGATCTGTAGTTCAGAATACAGCATCATTTGAATTTTTTTTCTAGTTTCATGTATGTGCACTCCGGTATATCAAAATGCGTTATATTAGATCAAATAACATATATGGTTCGTTACATAAAATATGCATAAATGTAAGAAATCAATTTCATTTCTCTCTCCGTCTCCTACTCTATCATCACCGTGCCCTTGATTTAAAATCTATCGTTTGACACCCAAGCTGCGTTTGATGTGCGCTCTGTAACCTTATTTGTACATCAAAATTTCATCCTTATCCTTATTCAAATTCTAACAAACTTATCTGAATTGAATATTTTTATGTTTGGACTGGTGATTCTAGTTGTGCATAAGTACTATAACATTGCCAAGTATAATAAACATTATAATGCTTTCATTTTGTGAAAAAGTCAAATCAATAAATGATCAATACACATTAAAAACATACATGTAAATATGGATGCAATGATAAAAGTACATGTTCATCATTCATGCTGACTTTATAATTTCTTTCGCCACGATTTCATAAAACTAACATTTGAGATGATGATATTTTGCCAACTGACAGATTGCCTTCTAAACGTTTTATATATTTTAGTTACTTTCAGTTTTTTTCCGACAATATTGTTCTTGCATGATAGATTAGCAAGGTTTCTAGATATAATTTCGTCATATATGTATATCCTTCCTAAGCTATGTCAAGTGTATATCCGTTCTATAGTCAGATACAATTAAAAACAGGAAGTTTAATTTCAATACGATATAAATTCGGCGAATATCATATGATGTGATGCGTGTGAGTTTTAAGTAACCAGCGGTGTCAGATACAGGAACCCCTTGTACTCCCATGCGGGACTTCCCTACTAGAACCCCATAACACACAAACAGAAACACAAGCCTTGATCCGCACCGTGAATACGTATATATTTCAGTGTAGAGAATCGAGATAATAAGACACACATTTTTTAGTATGGCAAAGATGAAGTTGTGAATTGTTACATGTTGGTTTTTTTGTAAAGAAAACGTGTGAATTGAAATGTACATGTATATAGGTTATATCCTGAAATGACAGACAACTCAATACAACACACACCGATATACTAGTTTATCATTATAATCATCATAATGTGCCATAAAACCATAAAACACGATGGAAAATAAGCATGCGATTATACAGCGTTCGAACTGCATTGTCGAAGCGAATGTTTTGAAACTGTGTTGACGAAACTTACGTCACTTTAACATTACTACAGAACTGATTAAGACATTTCTATTTTACAATTTTATAAATAAGCGTTTGTGTCTTACAATTATTCACACCACCAATAACCGGACGCGTCACTAACTACAGGTTAGATAGGTGAACTACAGGTATACTCAATTGAAATGAAATAAACTCTTTTCAAATTTTCAAGCTTGCAATTTTGTGTGTTTCCTCAGACACATATTTATGTTTAACGTGAGGCATGATAGTGCAAAAGTTCAGTTTAGTGACAAAATGAAAAGCAATAACACAAAACCATGGACTTGGTTAGTTAATCTAGTTCCGTGACAAACCATTCTTCCTCCCGTTAAATTGGGTAACATGCATACCCGTGTTTGTTGAAGGGTTGGTCATAAAAGATAAAATATGCAGCGGTTTTAGGGTATTTCAAGTGAAAACAGAAATTTCTGAATATCCCACAAATGCATACACTGTATGTTTATTGACGACTTCAATTATCACTGTAAATATATCGACAAGTTCGAGTCATTTCGTGGTTTCCGCAGCAAGGACTTTTACACAGACATTTGCATTTCCGCTGAAATGTAATGTTATATTTGTTCAATCATCTCTATATCGTCTTTTTCATATTTGCATGACATGCACTGTACCATTTCTACACCCGATCCAAACATGACCACAGCTGTCTACACATATAGTCCATGGGTTTGTTACTCCATGTTTCTTGTCTAAAAGGCATTTGGCTTTACCCTCATACCGAGACAGCACGTATACCTGGTCATTGAAGCAGTCTGGTACAAATAGTCTGTCAAATCTATCACATGTTATACTACATTGCGTCGCCTCTTCTATTTTCTTACCAATGTCAAGTTCTCCACTCCACCTGTGTATGATCTGATCAGATTTATTGATGACAATCATTTCTTTACAACATACCACACTATGTCCAGTGGTTACAGCTACGAGTCCTGTTATCAAACATACGATACTAAGCCCATCACGACCACACGAGATTTCTCTGATCCTTTCCCCAGACATGGTAAGTACCAGAATTGTCGGAGTTAGAGTAGTAACGAACACATCGTCCCTGACACTGATACACAAGGCTTTTAACGGACTGATGTCAGCAAATGTCGTTAATCGTCGGTCTTTCGATAGTTTGGTTATCAGAGAATGTTCATAGCGCGTGATCAAAAGTTCTTTCGTGTTGGCCACTGTAAGACACCACGGTTTAAAGTCAGTCTCGACGGCCTCTGTGACCTTACCATTCTTGTTGATTTTGATCAATTCATTAGATTCATGAACTGTCATCCAAGCGTGAGTGTCGTCTATAGGACATATTGAGTTGATTTGTGTCCGCTGAGGCATTTGGAATGTAGAAACCGCTTGAACCTGTTGACTGTCAACTTCCTTCTTTTCATACTGCACGTCTTCATTCTTCAATACTTGTAGACACCCAAACATTGTCTTCAATTGATCTTGGTTAAGTTCACCAGGCACGAAGTGAGATTGGGAAGGTACCACGCTTTTTCTATTTACATCATACAACGGTAGAGTGGTTCTCATGTTCTCAGTCATCTCAAGCAAGGATGCACTAGATTTCGTTTCTGTGGATTGTTCTATTTCTCTCAACAGTTGTTTAATCTTTTTGATTTTCTCCTCATGATGTTGACAATCCCAGTCGTGGAATTGTTTATCTTTTTTATCCAGGGATGATAACTCGGCAAAAACGAACTTGGCTATGGAATCAACCTCTGCTTGCAGTATAACTCTCTGGCTTTCTACAGTTTGTCGGATAACATCCACGTTCTCTTCGAATGATTTGTTAACCTCATTACGTTTTGTTATATTATCATTAAAATAGTCTAAGTTGGAGTCCAACGTTATCAATTGATTTTTAAGGGACCGCTTTTGTATGTCGATCGATTTCCTCCTCAATGTTTTTGAAAACGTGTTGGCTATATTTCTCGGTAAAACAAATTGCGCACAACACTATTTCACAATCACAACAATACAGGTCACATGATTTACCGTGGTGTATCTTACATACCTCCGGGAGAAATGTCTGATTTTGTTTGATCGCCCTTGTAATTGGTACAACGGCATCATTTCGTGTCTTTCTCGCGCGTTGGTGACTCTCTTTACAGCCGTCACATAAAGCCTCTTGACAGTCATTACAGTACCAGTTAACGTCCTGTATGTTTTCACACCAAGCACACGGATCAGGCACGTGCACCAGAGCACTCCGGGTGGCTAGTTCACTTGACATCTTTGTTAGATTATACTATATATTTATCGAACAAACAACTTTCTAACCCGTCAAAGTTTCCTTTGATTTTAAACTGAACGTCGATTACTTGTCCTTTGCTTTCACTGAACTCATGTGATAAATAAAAATAGCAGTCATGCCTATTGGCGTGTATAAGGCCTTTTCGTTGTAATATAAAGTCAAAGGTTCAACGAGGTGCCCGGATCTGGGCATATATAATACACAACAAATCGTGAATTGCGAACTGTAAGGTATGCTTTATATTTAGATATTGAACGATTTCGACAAGTTTGAAAAGTGGATATATTTTGTCATTGCGATCAAAACAGTGACTTTTTTAACAACTTTTCGATTTAAGGGATAGTTTTGGGGAATTCTGTAATGCCTCAGTTACAGTTATAAATTGCTTGATCGACTGATGTTTATTTTTAATAGCCGCATAGACTATCGATATCAACCACCAACACCCTCTCCCCAAGTTCCCCCCTTTTTGTTTCATTCTATTTTTTTTATATTTAGAACTTGTGCAGAACTTGTATAAATGTTTTCATATAGAATCTTACCCACTGAGTTTGTTCTTATCTAATGTCCCAGCGTAGGCTAAATTGATGTAACGGTTATATATGGTCATGCATGCGAGTTAAAATGGCGATTCCAAGTTAGAAATACCTTACAGTTATCGTGTTGGACGTGGTAAACGCATATGGTTCTGTACCAAACCAGGTATGGAAAACTATGGAGCATCACTATGTCCAAGATCATATTATCAACTTTATTGTCAGCCTTTTATTGGGGATACATTTGAGATTCAGCTTTGATCAAGTTATAATAAATCTGGATAAACATAAAGATTGGAATCATTACAGGGTACATACGATCGATGTGGTCGATACAATTCTTGTTATTTAAAGATAGCACAACATTGTTATATAGAATGTGAAATTAAATTACTCGTCAAGGATTTTTTTACTTTGTCCTAATAGACTTTTCAACTGATTCAGCTTCATATGAAAAGCAAAAATAAATTGGCCAGAAGAGGGTATGAGTTTGTTCCTATAGAAATGCCTACAGCATAACCGGACACACAATGATATTGTCAGTGAAGAACTCAGTCATTCTCACAATTTCATACGCTCTTCTCAAAAACCGGTGGTGTATTGAGGACAAGCTCAGCCTATTTATTTGGTAGATTCCGTTTATTTCCGGCGTTTTAATGATTCATGTTATCTTCATCAGTATGTCACAGGCGGCTGTTGTTGAGTTTCTATACGGAAGTAGATCGCGATGAAATTCTTGCTCTCTGTAATGTGTTTCCTGTTATCTCGGTATGCCGGATTATTGCAACAACTATGTATTTTGTATGAAATTTTGTTGTCAAAATATTAGAGATATATCGTTTTTTCATACATTTCGCTGCATCCCATCTTAAGAGACATCCAATATAGGACCTCATGCAGAATCGGCGGTTTTTCCTAGGTTAAATATTGATCTGATCGCGGTAAGCTTCCCTTTCAAAGGTCGTCAGGTTTGAATGTGTCGGCAATATGGATAGACTTTCAATGACGGATAGAAATCGTGCGATTGCGATGCTACAATCTGGGGCAGCAGAACATCATGTGTCGCATGTGATAATTTTAACAAGGTTTACGATTAAATGTCTTTTGAAGTGTTATTGACGAGTATGACATGTCAACCAACTCCCTGGAGCCGGACGTCGACGTGAAATGGCGCCATGTCAGGACCGCTTCATCCTTATTCCATGCATAGCGTCGAAACAGAGCGACGTTTACCGTTTTCCATGAGCAAACGCTGTGTTTAAGAAGTTAACAGAAATTGCGGACACCCACGATATTGACGTTACAAGTGTATCTTTCCTGTGTACAGTTGTGACGTCTAAATCACGTGAAAAAATTTTTTGAATTATCTATTCGTCGTACTGTTTGACATATTCCCTCTTTGTTAGTTGACGGTATTCTTGATTCTGTGTAAAATGTGTCTCCAATAATTCATTTACGATTTAAAATCAACTTTATTTACCTTGATCTGAATGGCCGGGAAATGAGCTTAAACCTCGTATTGGCCCAATTGAAATCTTGTACATCAATTCTTTAATGTTTTCGCTGCGCTAGCGGTAGATGGTTATGTTTTTAAAAAAGTCTCACTGTAGAGTCACATCTTACATGAAGTAGTCATGTGATGTTTTGGTGTACTAAAGTCACGTGACCTGTGCATAATGTTTTTCCATGCTGACATTTTGAAAATCTCCTTAAAAATCAGTTACCCTCCTCCTCCCCTAATTTATATCCACCTTTATGTACTATTGTGTAAAAATGCAATTGGTGCACATCTTTTTTTTTTGTAATTGTTTTATTTTTCACTACATAAAGGTCTTCACACACATTCTCTTTCACACACAAAAAAATGTATATGGATGTGTACATGCATCATCATCATCATAACTACAATACACCTCACCCATAAACAATCTTCATCCTCATCATCATTATGAAAATATAGTTACCAATGCATCAGTACCTATCTCGCATAATAAACATCATCATCCTCATTATCATCATCATCATTATAATCTTCATTGCATTAATACCTCTCACACATAAACAATCATCTACCCTCATAATCATCTTCATGAAAATATAATTACAAATGCATCAATGCATGTCTTACACTATAAACATCATCATCATCATCATTGCCTCAATATGCTTCACATAATACACAATTATCAGTATCATCATTATCATCATTGCATTACTATCTCTCACACAATAACAATCATCAACCCTCATCATCATCATCGTCATCATTATGAAATTATAACTACCAATGTCTCAATATTGTTGCACATCTTCATTTTATATTTTGTTTCATTTGTTGTACATCTTTTAATTACAATAACTTCAGATGGGTGACGTTTACTTTGAAGCAAGCCCCATCATTTTTGGTTCTTTGAACACCTTATTATAAAAATAACACGAAGATGTATACATATGTTCGATTTCTGGGATTTAGAAATAAATGTTCTTTTTCGACAACTTAAGTTTTTGATAATTTATCGACAAAAAACATAGCAGAGTATACCCTGTGTGTGCTGTTGGGTTTAGTGCAGACTTAACACGATAATATAAGTAATGGTGCGGCCATTCTATTATCCACCAGACACGCATCAGGTGCATCATTAGGGTACTTAATCAATGTTCGGGGTGAGCAAAAATATTTATTCTGAAAAAATATGCAGACAAAAAGAATGTACGTATAACGATATCGGATTTCCGATATCAAGCTCTTAGATCCATATAACCTCTTATTAAATCACCAACAGGTAACAATCAATAAAAAAGAAGATATTCCTTTCAAATATTCGTAGCACACACACATAACACCTGTACATTGCCATCTTTATTACTCGCAGGCAAACTCAATATTCACTTAAACTACGTTATGGAAGCACCACCTCACTGTTTACGTCACCACATTAAAGCTTATAACTAATTATACAATTCGTGATTCAAAATAAAATAATGGTACTACAAGATGTAATAATTTGCTGTCTTCGTTTTCATATTTACTCTATTTTCAAGACATTGTTATTGTGTTACATGTATGCACAAAACAAAAAACACAGAAAATACCACTATTAAAGCCAATGATGCATTTTCATAGCGAAAACAAACCGGAAAAGATTATAAATGATGAAGACAAGATAACAAATAATATAATAGAAACAAGTTTAACTATTTTATGATCGTAATTTACCAACATTGCCAGCAACAAAAACCCATTTAAATATACAAGCATAGATTTACAAAGAGAGGCCGGCCACACCATAAAAACAAGCCTCAACAAATCTTAAAAATATGCAAGTATGAAAAGTTGTGAAATACCCACTTGACGAGGAAGAGCGGGACGTACAATATAATTTCACCCTTGAGTACACACTTGACTGATTTCAGTGAAACATTAAAAAGGGTGCGATCATCAATGAATAGGTTTGTTTATCAAGTAAGGTCATGAACAATGTAACTGCATATGAGTTTGAGTAGAAATAGCTTATATTGCATCCGCTTTATTCTGAATGGAGTGGCCCATTAAACTGACTGTATTTCCCGTATGTTTTTGCTGAAAGCTTGAAATACTTGAGTAAACTATCGTGCTTATACATATAATCAATTGTAAATAAGTTTTGAATAGAAAATCATACCATTTATTTGGTGTTGTTTATTGTATTATTGCAAAACTGACCGATTAATCGGTAACTCGGTCGGGAGATTTTGACTAAACTTCGTTCGGTTTGACAATCTTTGTATTTACCTGTCATCTTTTAGTATGAATGGTGGTCGTTAATATATCCACGTTGTCAACTGCAGCTGTACAGTGATCTATTTTGACAAACGTATATAGTGTTTTCTTGATACTACAAAGAAACACAACACATGGCCTGTTAAAACTCGTTATAGGATTTCCCACTGACGATATATGTAAGGTGAAAACAGAGACAGATTGTCTCAGTAAACCATACAAAGTCGGTGTTCATTCATTCAAATATTGTCGCATTTGTTCATATTTGCATTACATGTACAGTACCACCACTACAGCCGATCCAAACATGTCCGCACATGTCGACACACACAGCCAACGGATCTGTTACTGCATGTTTCTTGTCAAGGAGACACTTGGCCTTTCTTTCATTCCCCGATATGACGTATACCTGGTTAGTGTTATAGTCTGGTACAAATATTCTGTCATATTCATCACATGCTATATCGCTCTGCAACGTCTCTGTTATCTTCTGACCATTGTCCAGTTCCCCACTCCACTTGTGCATGATCTGGTCATATTTGTTGATGACAATCATTTCGTTACAATTCAAATAATCAGAGCCAGTGGTGACAGCTATATATCCTGTTGTCAAATTAACTATACTAAGCCCATCTCCTCCACAGGATATTTGTCTGATCCTATCCCCAGACATGTTCAGTACCAGCATTGTTGGGGTGAGAGTAGTGACGAACACCTCGTCAGTGTCACTGATACTGATACCTGAGGCGTTTAACGGACTGATGTCAGCAAAATCAGTCACTCGTCTGTCCTCAGATATAATGTGTATCAGCGAAGAATTCTTATACTCTGTGACCAGAAGTACTTTCTCATTGGACACGGTTAGACGCCACGGGTTAAAGTCAAGCTTGACAGACTCTGTGACGTTGCCTTCTTTGTTGACTTTGACCAATTCATTAGATTCATATACCGACATCCATACTTGATTATCGTCAGTAGGACATATTGAGTTGATTTGTGTCCGCTGAGGCATTTGGAATGTAGAAATCATTTGAACCTGTTGACAGTCAACTTCCTTCTTTTCATACTGCACGTCTTCATTCTTCAATACTTGTAAACGCCCAAACACTGTCTTCAATTGATCTTTGTTACGTTCACCAGGGACGAAGTGATGTTGGCGAGGTACCACGCTCTTTTTATTTACATCATACAGCGGTTTGGTGGTTTTCATTCTTCTAGTCATTTCAAATAAGGATGCACTAGATTTCGTTTCTGTGGCTTGTTCCACATCTTCCATCAGTTGTTTGATCTCTTTGACGTTTTTTTCGTGAGATTGACAATCTCGAGTGTGGGATATTTCTTCTTCTTCAACCAAGGACGATAACTCGACCAAAACCGAGTCCGCTATGAAATTAATTTCTTCTTTCAGTTTAAATCTTTGCGTTTGTACTGATTGTCGGATGACTTCCACGTTCTCTTCGAACGATTTGCTCACCTCATGACGCTTTGATATATTGTCATTAAAATGGTCTAAATTGGAGTCCAACGTTATCAATAGCTCTCGAAGGAACTGTTTTTGTACGTCAATTTCCAGTTCAATGTTTTTGAAAACGTGTTGGCTATGTTTCTCGGTAAAACAAGTTGCGCACATCATTATTTCACAATCACAACAATACAGGTCACATGATTTACCGTGGTGTGTCTTACATACCTCCGGGAGAAATGTCTGATTTTGTTTGATCGCCCTTGTAATTGGTACAACGGCATCATTTCGTGTCTTTCTCGCGCGTTGGTGACTCTCTTTACAGCCGTCACATAAAGCCTCTTGACAGTCATTACAGTACCAGTTAACGTCCTGTATGTTTTCACACCAAGCACACGGATCAGGCACGTGCACCAGAGCACTCCGGGTGGCTAGTTCACTTGACATCTTTGTTAGATTATACTATATATTTATCGAACAAACAACTTTCTAACCCGTCAAAGTTTCCTTTGATTTTAAACTGAACGTCGATTACTTGTCCTTTGCTTTCACTGAACTCATGTGATAAATAAAAATAGCAGTCATGCCTATTGGCGTGTATAAGGCCTTTTCGTTGTAATATAAAGTCAAAGGTTCAACGAGGTGCCCGGATCTGGGCATATATAATACACAACAAATCGTGAATTGCGAACTGTAAGGTATGCTTTATATTTAGATATTGAACGATTTCGACAAGTTTGAAAAGTGGATATATTTTGTCATTGCGATCAAAACAGTGACTTTTTTAACAACTTTTCGATTTAAGGGATAGTTTTGGGGAATTCTGTAATGCCTCAGTTACAGTTATAAATTGCTTGATCGACTGATGTTTATTTTTAATAGCCGCATAGACTATCGATATCAACCACCAACACCCTCTCCCCAAGTTCCCCCCTTTTTGTTTCATTCTATTTTTTTTATATTTAGAACTTGTGCAGAACTTGTATAAATGTTTTCATATAGAATCTTACCCACTGAGTTTGTTCTTATCTAATGTCCCAGCGTAGGCTAAATTGATGTAACGGTTATATATGGTCATGCATGCGAGTTAAAATGGCGATTCCAAGTTAGAAATACCTTACAGTTATCGTGTTGGACGTGGTAAACGCATATGGTTCTGTACCAAACCAGGTATGGAAAACTATGGAGCATCACTATGTCCAAGATCATATTATCAACTTTATTGTCAGCCTTTTATTGGGGATACATTTGAGATTCAGCTTTGATCAAGTTATAATAAATCTGGATAAACATAAAGATTGGAATCATTACAGGGTACATACGATCGATGTGGTCGATACAATTCTTGTTATTTAAAGATAGCACAACATTGTTATATAGAATGTGAAATTAAATTACTCGTCAAGGATTTTTTTACTTTGTCCTAATAGACTTTTCAACTGATTCAGCTTCATATGAAAAGCAAAAATAAATTGGCCAGAAGAGGGTATGAGTTTGTTCCTATAGAAATGCCTACAGCATAACCGGACACACAATGATATTGTCAGTGAAGAACTCAGTCATTCTCACAATTTCATACGCTCTTCTCAAAAACCGGTGGTGTATTGAGGACAAGCTCAGCCTATTTATTTGGTAGATTCCGTTTATTTCCGGCGTTTTAATGATTCATGTTATCTTCATCAGTATGTCACAGGCGGCTGTTGTTGAGTTTCTATACGGAAGTAGATCGCGATGAAATTCTTGCTCTCTGTAATGTGTTTCCTGTTATCTCGGTATGCCGGATTATTGCAACAACTATGTATTTTGTATGAAATTTTGTTGTCAAAATATTAGAGATATATCGTTTTTTCATACATTTCGCTGCATCCCATCTTAAGAGACATCCAATATAGGACCTCATGCAGAATCGGCGGTTTTTCCTAGGTTAAATATTGATCTGATCGCGGTAAGCTTCCCTTTCAAAGGTCGTCAGGTTTGAATGTGTCGGCAATATGGATAGACTTTCAATGACGGATAGAAATCGTGCGATTGCGATGCTACAATCTGGGGCAGCAGAACATCATGTGTCGCATGTGATAATTTTAACAAGGTTTACGATTAAATGTCTTTTGAAGTGTTATTGACGAGTATGACATGTCAACCAACTCCCTGGAGCCGGACGTCGACGTGAAATGGCGCCATGTCAGGACCGCTTCATTCTTATTCCATGCATAGCGTCGAAACAGAGCGACGTTTACCGTTTTCCATGAGCAAACGCTGTGTTTAAGAAGTTAACAGAAATTGCGGACACCCACGATATTGACGTTACAAGTGTATCTTTCCTGTGTACAGTTGTGACGTCTAAATCACGTGAAAAAATTTTTTGAATTATCTATTCGTCGTACTGTTTGACATATTCCCTCTTTGTTAGTTGACGGTATTCTTGATTCTGTGTAAAATGTGTCTCCAATAATTCATTTACGATTTAAAATCAACTTTATTTACCTTGATCTGAATGGCCGGGAAATGAGCTTAAACCTCGTATTGGCCCAATTGAAATCTTGTACATCAATTCTTTAATGTTTTCGCTGCGCTAGCGGTAGATGGTTATGTTTTTAAAAAAGTCTCACTGTAGAGTCACATCTTACATGAAGTAGTCATGTGATGTTTTGGTGTACTAAAGTCACGTGACCTGTGCATAATGTTTTTCCATGCTGACATTTTGAAAATCTCCTTAAAAATCAGTTACCCTCCTCCTCCCCTAATTTATATCCACCTTTATGTACTATTGTGTAAAAATGCAATTGGTGCACATCTTTTTTTTTTGTAATTGTTTTATTTTTCACTACATAAAGGTCTTCACACACATTCTCTTTCACACACAAAAAAATGTATATGGATGTGTACATGCATCATCATCATCATAACTACAATACACCTCACCCATAAACAATCTTCATCCTCATCATCATTATGAAAATATAGTTACCAATGCATCAGTACCTATCTCGCATAATAAACATCATCATCCTCATTATCATCATCATCATTATAATCTTCATTGCATTAATACCTCTCACACATAAACAATCATCTACCCTCATAATCATCTTCATGAAAATATAATTACAAATGCATCAATGCATGTCTTACACTATAAACATCATCATCATCATCATTGCCTCAATATGCTTCACATAATACACAATTATCAGTATCATCATTATCATCATTGCATTACTATCTCTCACACAATAACAATCATCAACCCTCATCATCATCATCGTCATCATTATGAAATTATAACTACCAATGTCTCAATATTGTTGCACATCTTCATTTTATATTTTGTTTCATTTGTTGTACATCTTTTAATTACAATAACTTCAGATGGGTGACGTTTACTTTGAAGCAAGCCCCATCATTTTTGGTTCTTTGAACACCTTATTATAAAAATAACACGAAGATGTATACATATGTTCGATTTCTGGGATTTAGAAATAAATGTTCTTTTTCGACAACTTAAGTTTTTGATAATTTATCGACAAAAAACATAGCAGAGTATACCCTGTGTGTGCTGTTGGGTTTAGTGCAGACTTAACACGATAATATAAGTAATGGTGCGGCCATTCTATTATCCACCAGACACGCATCAGGTGCATCATTAGGGTACTTAATCAATGTTCGGGGTGAGCAAAAATATTTATTCTGAAAAAATATGCAGACAAAAAGAATGTACGTATAACGATATCGGATTTCCGATATCAAGCTCTTAGATCCATATAACCTCTTATTAAATCACCAACAGGTAACAATCAATAAAAAAGAAGATATTCCTTTCAAATATTCGTAGCACACACACATAACACCTGTACATTGCCATCTTTATTACTCGCAGGCAAACTCAATATTCACTTAAACTACGTTATGGAAGCACCACCTCACTGTTTACGTCACCACATTAAAGCTTATAACTAATTATACAATTCGTGATTCAAAATAAAATAATGGTACTACAAGATGTAATAATTTGCTGTCTTCGTTTTCATATTTACTCTATTTTCAAGACATTGTTATTGTGTTACATGTATGCACAAAACAAAAAACACAGAAAATACCACTATTAAAGCCAATGATGCATTTTCATAGCGAAAACAAACCGGAAAAGATTATAAATGATGAAGACAAGATAACAAATAATATAATAGAAACAAGTTTAACTATTTTATGATCGTAATTTACCAACATTGCCAGCAACAAAAACCCATTTAAATATACAAGCATAGATTTACAAAGAGAGGCCGGCCACACCATAAAAACAAGCCTCAACAAATCTTAAAAATATGCAAGTATGAAAAGTTGTGAAATACCCACTTGACGAGGAAGAGCGGGACGTACAATATAATTTCACCCTTGAGTACACACTTGACTGATTTCAGTGAAACATTAAAAAGGGTGCGATCATCAATGAATAGGTTTGTTTATCAAGTAAGGTCATGAACAATGTAACTGCATATGAGTTTGAGTAGAAATAGCTTATATTGCATCCGCTTTATTCTGAATGGAGTGGCCCATTAAACTGACTGTATTTCCCGTATGTTTTTGCTGAAAGCTTGAAATACTTGAGTAAACTATCGTGCTTATACATATAATCAATTGTAAATAAGTTTTGAATAGAAAATCATACCATTTATTTGGTGTTGTTTATTGTATTATTGCAAAACTGACCGATTAATCGGTAACTCGGTCGGGAGATTTTGACTAAACTTCGTTCGGTTTGACAATCTTTGTATTTACCTGTCATCTTTTAGTATGAATGGTGGTCGTTAATATATCCACGTTGTCAACTGCAGCTGTACAGTGATCTATTTTGACAAACGTATATAGTGTTTTCTTGATACTACAAAGAAACACAACACATGGCCTGTTAAAACTCGTTATAGGATTTCCCACTGACGATATATGTAAGGTGAAAACAGAGACAGATTGTCTCAGTAAACCATACAAAGTCGGTGTTCATTCATTCAAATATTGTCGCATTTGTTCATATTTGCATTACATGTACAGTACCACCACTACAGCCGATCCAAACATGTCCGCACATGTCGACACACACAGCCAACGGATCTGTTACTGCATGTTTCTTGTCAAGGAGACACTTGGCCTTTCTTTCATTCCCCGATATGACGTATACCTGGTTAGTGTTATAGTCTGGTACAAATATTCTGTCATATTCATCACATGCTATATCGCTCTGCAACGTCTCTGTTATCTTCTGACCATTGTCCAGTTCCCCACTCCACTTGTGCATGATCTGGTCATATTTGTTGATGACAATCATTTCGTTACAATTCAAATAATCAGAGCCAGTGGTGACAGCTATATATCCTGTTGTCAAATTAACTATACTAAGCCCATCTCCTCCACAGGATATTTGTCTGATCCTATCCCCAGACATGTTCAGTACCAGCATTGTTGGGGTGAGAGTAGTGACGAACACCTCGTCAGTGTCACTGATACTGATACCTGAGGCGTTTAACGGACTGATGTCAGCAAAATCAGTCACTCGTCTGTCCTCAGATATATTGTGTATCA